GACTTTCTTAGGACACCTTTGGATTTAATCGTGAAAATAAAGCGGTTTCTGAGCAGCCCCTTCCCTCGGTCATCTGCAGGAGCAGGCATATTGGCAGCTTTAAATGTGCGTGTCAGGCCTTTAAAACGCGTTTTCCTTTGCTGTTTTCCCACAGTGGAACCCTCGAAAATGGTCCGCTACTCCCTGGACCCGGAGAACCCGACGAAATGTGAGTCGCTTCACATGCCTCCTGGGGGGAGTCTTAACGGAGCAATTGGGGCTCTCAGTTAAAACGTTTGTGTTTTCCTTTCACAGCATGCAAGTCACGGGGCTCCAACCTGCGGGTCCATTTCAAGGTAGGCGGCTTGTGCATAATAGAAAAAGCAATTGCAGTTTGTAAAAGGAATGGCCCTTTTCTTGCCTGTGTCAGTTACTGAAGGGTGGTGGCAAAGGATACAGCTTAGACTTGTTTAAGCTGCTTGTAAGGTGTTTATTCACAGGAATAAGTTAAACAAAAAAGAAGGCTCCTAAGAAGCTTATTGTCCAATAAAATGCAGTAGAGAGTAAAATGCTGCAGTTGATTACAGTGGTTGCAGCAGTAAGAATTGGCGTAGCATCTGATTAGTGATGTGTTTCATCTGTCTTATTTTTTGTTTTTGGTTGTTTGGAAGGATCTTCCTGCTAATGTGATTGTACTGCTGCACAAGAAGTGTGGCTGTGTTCTGCAGGAAAGCTGCATAAGAGTAATTACATTTCTTTAAAAAGCACTTAGTTGCAATGGTGAATTTAGGGCATTTTGGGGTGAATTACACAAATCTGGGTTCAGAACAGATACTCTTTTGCAAAGCAATATATATAGTATGGATGAAAAGACTCGTTAAGATGTTTGATTTATTTTCGTTTATCTCTTTATTGTGTTCAAACATGATGAAAGTTACTCTTTGAGTTTGCATTTAGCATGCTGTTCTGAGCAGTGTTAACCTAGCTCCTGGTTTTACTTTACAAGCTGTTCCCTTCTCCCTCTTCATAATTGAGTCACATAGATTCGAATCAATGTAGCTTATTTGTTTTCCTCTCGCTTCCTGTGAGGGACTATGTGAGATATTTTAGAAGGAATTTATCTTTCAGTCCCTGGGGCTTTGGATTAATGGATAAAGAGGACCTATTGTAAGTGAGAATGTGTTTTAAAGGGACCTTGGTTTAGTTTTGCTGTCTGGAATGATCTAACTGTTAAAACAACAACAAAAACATGTCAGGGTAACAAAATCAGTAATAATGGAAGTCATACAAAGATAGAGAGGTACGTAGGGGCAAAAAACAGATTTGTTTTTGCAAATTCGCTTTTGCTTACAGTATTAATTTGGAAAGAATTGTTGAGAGAAGCTTTTCTTTTACTTTCTTTTGGTTAGAACACACGTGAGACTGCGCAGGCCATCAAGGGCATGCACATCCGCAAGGCCACCAAGTACCTGAAGGACGTGACGCTGAAGAAGCAGTGTGTTCCCTTCCGCCGCTACAACGGTGGAGTTGGTAGATGTGCCCAGGTGAGATCTGGGTGAAAATGTGGGAAGGAAGGATGCTTGGGTGTGGTTGATTAAAGAAAGAAAAAGCAGAGCTGAGACTGTACTAGGAATGTTCTGTCAGTGCTGGTGAAATGTAAGGAGAATCTCTCAAGTTTCTGTGTAAAAAAAAAAACATGAAACACTGCAGCATGCCAGGTTGCAGTTTTATGTGAAAAGCATTAGGTAGTAGTTTAAGTTGATTATTTTGATATGTCAGTTGCAAAGGGATATTTATGTTATTGCATGATAAGTTGAATTGCTGATTTTGATTGCTGTGATGACTTTCTTAGGACACCTTTGAATTAAACGTGAAAAGAATTTTGTTTTCTGAGCAATCTCAGCAAAAGGGGATGCAATAGTTAATGTTGTAGCCAAGATAAAAACAGAAAACTCTTCTTGTTCCAGGCCAAGCAGTGGGGCTGGACACAGGGACGCTGGCCCAAGAAAAGTGCAGAGTTCTTGCTGCATATGCTCAAAAATGCGGAGAGCAATGCTGAGCTCAAGGTAGGTTAACTAGGCAGTAGTAAATGAAGATTTTGCATGTGCTTCTCTGTCATCAGTCCTGGAGGCAGTGGCTCAAAAATCAAAGGCCAGGCGGGGCCTGGAGCTCTGAATAGTGTAGTCAGTCAGAAGATTTGATTTGCTGTATCTGTTCAGATGAGATGATGTGTTCCTCAAGATAAAATATAAGGGATAACTTCTAATTGATAACTAGGACGTGCATTCTGTATTCATCCGATTGGAGTGTGTGCTAAATCTCTTAAAAAAGTACAAAATAAAATATTCTGTATGCCTCTGTTCAATTTATGTCTTTGTCATGTACTCATGTATTCATGCTTCTGCTTAGTGAATGTTTTGTTTCATGATAACTTTCAAATTATACTGTGAGATGTTCGCCAGCAGTGACGGTTGTGGCAAGTTGGTCATTGAAGTTTTTGTTAGAGAATTTTATTTTTAGAAAATAAGTCATGAATCCTCTGCATTTTTTCCCTCAGGGTCTCGATGTGGATTCTCTGGTGATCGAGCACATCCAGGTGAACAAGGCTCCCAAAATGCGCAGGCGAACCTACCGAGCCCATGGTAGGATCAACCCCTACATGAGCTCCCCCTGCCACATTGAGATGATCCTCACCGAGAAGGAGCAGATTGTTCCAAAACCAGAAGAAGAGGTTGCTCAAAAGAAAAAGGTAGGAAGAGGAGTAGCGGGTTTTTTGTGTGTTTTGTTTCTTAAAATATCATTGTCAAGAAACCTGAATTTTAATATTTTGCATTTTTTTAAACAAAGTGGTTGCTATGATGACCATCTTAGGACACCTTTGGAATGCCTGTGAAAAAAAAATCGTATTTCTGAGCAACCTGCCTATCTTGAAAATACAGCTTTGAGAACTTGTCAGTGATAAGTACTGCACAGAGGTCCTGCACCTGGAACAATTCCTGGGTGTCTGTGCAGGACAGCTCTGTGTGTGGATGATCCACTGGCATGAGAGTCTCGTGTGTTTATTTTCCCTGTTAGGACATTCCCCGTTCATGCTGCAAAACGTAGGTGCAGATGGACTCTCTGTAGCGGCTTTCGTGTTGGAAGGCGATGGGTTGTTTAGATAACTCTGTTGACAAATTTTAATTTGGTACATTTCACTAAATATAACTTAACCTGTAAACATTACAGTTTGTCCTAGAATTTGTTTGGCAAGGTGCCCTTTTTGCGCATGCAGACTTCCACTGTTGCTTTTTATTTTTCAGATCTCCCAGAAGAAGCTGAAGAAGCAAAAGCTCATGGCGCGGGAGTAAATGCAATATTGCAGATGTACATAAATAAAACAGAAAAAGATTTACGCCGCGGGTGTCTGTGCCTTGTCTTGCTCGCTGGGTCCGCTCGGTTCCATTATTTCAGTGGTGCTTTGGGGGACCCCTGGAAGCAGTTCCCGCTGCGGGTTAGGTTTTCCCGCCGGGCATCCCAGGCGCTGCTTGGC